GCAGAATATCAGAAGCCCTGTGAAGGATCAGGTGCATGGAAAACAGGGCTGGACTTCAAGGGCTTGTGTTTCTTAAACGTCAGCAGCTACCGTACTTGTTAGTTGTTGACTTTTAGCTTTTGTATAGCTGGGTGACATTACTCATTACTTTACTAATACTAAATGGCTTGTTTTATTCCATAAGGAGTTGAGTCCACCAAAACCCAGATAAAAATCACAAAAGATGAAACCTAAATGGTAAACCAGGCTTTAGAATCTTGGAAATTCAAAAATGCAAAGAACAAAGGTATACCGCTCAGGCAAACAATCCAGATCAATCCACAACAGGTGCAGGCTCTGGCTCGCCACCACACACGATACCATAGGAAGAAGGGTCAGCCACACACCGGAAGATAGATGAATATAGTGTGTATTTTATTGACCCATAGGACACAAAACACCAGGACATGAATACAGGACCTGTTAACGCATTTCACACAATCGCGTTCTTAATCATAGAATAAAATCATAAATAAAATGCAAAGTGCTGGTACACAAACACAGAAAACCCACTGAATGACATAAGGCTGCCATTCAAGTGACAATGAAAAACCACATGGATGCAGATAAACATACAAATATACAAAATCTAAAGAAAAATATCAATAGAAACGTGGTAGAACAAGCTCAGATAGCTATGCAGTAGCCTAATGGGAAATGCCAAGGAATATAATACCAAGTAGTACTACTCAAGAGGAGAGACGTGGCTACATTTTGGAAAACAACATACTGCATGTGCGCGTCTTCCATATATTTTTCATAAAAAGTGGCTGTAGACTCCAGGTAAGATAATTTCATTGCTGACTAGTCAATAGAACCTGTCTAGAAATAGAGGCTATTATGGGAGTAAATTGGTGTGTCACTCTGAAAGCCAGCATTTCCATTTTTTAGAACGTCAACAGTTCTTGACATTTTTTTTTTTTTTCTACACCAAATGATCACTGTGTATGCACTTAATACACAGTGCAGGATTTGACAGCACTGACACAAAGTGCGTTCTCCAAAATCACACTGTTTACGTTTTAAAGAAAAAAAAAACTATGGTAAACAATCCGTGGCTGACAACTAATCCCAAAACGACAGTAGATTGTTGCAATCACTCAAGATATAACAACTGTCAAAGACGACACAATATACATTGCTCCCTGACACACTACTGTAAGAATTTAGACCATGCCTGATTCATTTACAGTAGTTACAAGACTTTGACCATGTCATTTCCATAGCGGCATAATGAGTTTTTAACAAATGGACCCAAAATGCTTCCTGAACTACAAACAACTTCTAATCAGGGAACCCATGCTCTGGAGCACACAAGATCAGGCTGAGGCAAAAAGTAATGTGGTATGGCATTGCCGTGAATAATGATGTATATGGGTCATTGCTCTTTGCCCATCCTTAAAGTACACCCCCAATCACTACAATCTCATTAGTTTTACCATGACAAAGTAATTTCAAAATGTGTCTTCAATATTTTTAAATCTACATCACAATCTTATCATAATAACTAGTGATTCTGCCACGCTGTTCCGTGTTTAGGCACTTCCTGTTATAGGGTGACAACGCTGAGGCTGATTTACTTATAGCAGGTCCTCTGACATCATCAGGTACACTGCAGAGCCCCTAGCTTTGCAATGGACGTGATAAAGCTGATGGACAGTCCATCATCAAAGCATGGGAGAGTAGAGAAGAGCACCAACTACAAGGGGAATGGAGGATCAGGTAAGCAAAACTGCTTTCTGCGGCCACCTAGACCTAAACAAGCACTTAACCCTTGCAGTGCCGCGGCAGCCCCACTACAAGAGAGTATTTTTCATTTCCCTAAAGATGGGCTTTAAGGCAAATAGGCTGTTCCATTAACAAGGGGATTTTCAATTAACTTAGTGCACCATTCTCCATCAGGGTTCTGTGAAACCCAATGTGGTTGCTAGAGGTTTCTTGAGCTGTGGCTGATGAACTTCCCAGTTGACGGTGCCTGAATAGTTCCAGGGTCAACACTGCTTGGCAAAGCCAGCAGCATGCCACCAATGATCTTTTTTAGTTATCTGCTAGGAATGGTATGCTGACCACCACTGGAAGGGACAATCTTCCCACTAGCCACCAATGTAAGAGACATGTTCCCACTGACCCCTGAATTGAACTAGTTTTAGTAAGAATTCCCCCAGACCTGAAATTTATTTCAGAAATTCCTCTGGAGTAAAAAGGTTTGAGAAAGGCTGACTTAGTAAATTATGATGAAGCTCTGCTGACTTCCATCCTTCAATCACGTGCAAGCAAAAACGCTCTTTTTATTTTCTTTGCATGTGATTGGGTATTCTTTGCAAACTAAATTTTCACCACATTCACAAAGTTAAGGGAAAATTCTCTTGCAAAGAAAACAGCCTGTTTGCCTTCAGAAAATAAACGTCTCTGTCTTGATCTTAGAATTGTGTCCCTACATTGTTACTGTGGCATGGGCTTCCAATAGAGAATACAATGGTCATTTCAACCCACGCTGGATAGGCACAGTCTACTGCTGTCACTACCAAAAATAATTTTGGAACTGTCATGCAACCATCGCTACAGTGAATGCATGTGGGAAAGTGGGATGCAACAAAGGAATAAAATTAAATAATGTTTATGATAGAATGTGGGGGAGATTTACTAAAACTGGCGCACTCGGAATTTGGTGCAGCCGTGCAAGGTAGCCAATCAGCTTCTAACTTCAACTTGTTCAATTAAGCTTTGACAATAAAACATGGAAGCTGATTGGTTTCTATGCAGAGCTGCGCCACATTTTGTACCAGGCATTTTTAGTAAATAACCCCAGTTAGCAAATTAAGGCTGATGTCAGACAGGCGATTGGGACACTTGCCAGTGGCAAAATCGCTAAGAAGCTGCCTGCCTATCCTTATGGAATCGCTTCCATCGCTAGCGACTGAGATTCAGCAGCATTTGGGGCCAGCAAGGGAGTGACTCCAGAGACGCAAGTGGAAGGTAAAGTCACCCATCTGACATCAGCCGAATGCTGGCCATACTCTTAGAATCTAAGAGATTCTCTCATCCATGCTAAAAGGCACAGAAGGACAGATCCACCTGCTGAGCTGCCAGAATACAGGAACAGTGGCTGCATCTGACTGGAAGCAGCTACTGTTCCACTGACAATTATCCACCAAGTTCCTTCATTTTTCAATCAATGGATGTTGGCTGGGAGGGGGGCACTCACTAAGCAAATTTTGGCTGGTTCATCAGGAAGCACCTGAAACTTTTGCAGTGTATGGCCAGCTTAAATGATATTCATTTAGGGTGCACATCAACTTTAATAAGAAAACCTGTATATTTATACACTTTAAAGCCGCACCAATGTGTGCAAAGACCATCATGCATGTTACAATCCAATTACGCTGAAGACTGTACAATCAACTTTAGATTTACCAAAGTTATATGTAATATGAGGATGAACCTAAGCTATCGATCTAATGTGTCAGGCTGTTGTGATACATTCACGTGTTCCCAACCTCAGTCCTTTAGTACCCCTGACAGATCATGTTTTCAGGATTTCCTGCACCTTGCCCAGGGTAAAGTGAATGGGGCTGCACCCCAACAGCACGCCAAATGCTGCACCTGTGGTTGCGGTACAGTAGTCCCATTCAAAAATCCTATTCAGCTGTCAACAGAAAAAACAAAACAGGCATTCAGGAAGTGGCATCATCACCTCCTTGTTGCCTGTCAACTGTACCTGCACCGCTCGCTGAAAACCGTTTTACTGCAGATAGTTCTTCAGAGAGCAACTATGTGTAAATACGCCCCTGGGCTTGTTCTTTGAAAAGTGATTCTTGGTGAATTGCTTTTCAAAGTGCGCGGCCAAGTATCGTCTCTCATGTTTTTAGGAGGCAATACTGCTGCTTCCTGAATCCTTTTTTGTTCAGCCAAATGGCAGTTTTTAACGGGACTAATGTGAAGCAACCAGGAACTGTCTGCAGCCCCATTGACTTGAATGGGCGAGTTTGAGTCAAACAGACATTCTAGGTCAGGGGGTGTCAAACTGGCAGTCCTCCAGCTGTTGCGAAACTACAAGTCTTATCATGCCTCTGCCTTTGGGAGTCATGCTTGTAACTGTCAATCTTGCAATGCCTCATGGGACTAGTAGTTTGGCAACAGCTGGAGGGCCGCCAGTTTGACACCTGTGTTTTAGGTTACATTTGCTGCAGCCACAGCATGTGAACAGCCTCCTCTGGCTGTATAGTAGGTTTTAGGTAGATGGTCTGAGGGGGGTGTGGGGTCAACTGCCCGTATTTACTCCCACCCCAGCCACTTGTGTGAAAGAGGCCTTAGGTCCTTTTTGGCATGAAGGGTTTGATAAAAGTTCACCTGTCAGTTTTTCAGGTGGCCCTGAATGGACGGACTAATCACCCCAATGGACCAGCAAGTGTGAACAGACTTGTGCATGCCTCCAATCCAACTCATTTTGTGAAAAAATAATGGAAGGGGACCCACTTCCCTCCATCTAGGTCCTTGGCGGCCCTCCAGTTGTTGGGCAACTACAAGTCCCATCATGCCTCTGCCTTTGGGAGTCAAGCTTGTAACTGTCAGTTTTGCAATGCCTCATGGGACTTGTAGTTTGGCAACAGCTGGAGGACCGTCAGTTTGACACCCATGATCTAGGAGGATCAGATCGTACGGCGGTTAGGTATAAATAGACAGCAGAGTCCGGCCGCCCATAGAGCGGGTTCAGCATACACTGAGCACACATGGACCTGTCATCCACCTGCTCTGATCAGCGGACAGATCCCCTGCTGACGTCAACAGAGTCCTCCTCATGTGAAAGGGGCCTTCAAGAAATACCGAAGACGTGGCCTGCTGGAGGCACCCGAGACTGTGGTTGGGAACCACTGCTCTGTAGATCTAACTACACAATCAAATTGGACCGCGTACACCGGGCCTAATTCTACAACCACACAGGTACATCCCGCTCCATCTGCTCACACAGTTCCACCGCAACATACACACAAGCACCCCTGACAGCGGCCGCCATGTTGTACAGACCAACAATCCCATTGAAAGACATAGCAGGTATAGACTGGCGCTGACGGCGCTCTGGCACATGCGGTAGCAGACTTACCCTCTTTATTTAGCCTCATAACCTCCCTGCTTTTTCCACCCTCTTTTCCAGTCTCTTCTAAATCTACATCTGTGGAGGAAAAGAGAAGCCAAAGTCAAGATGGACATCCCAGCAAATGTAAACAGCAATGAGTGTCATGTCCCCGCCTCCCCCAGGGATGAGGGGTGCCCATCTGAGTGGAGGGATGGTATAGGGAGCCCAGGAAGGTCCAGTGGATGGAATGCACAGCCAGCAGTGAAGGATGATGGGCCTCCTCTCTATAGACACACTCAGTCTGCCAGTCTCCCTGTGTCTGTGGGTGTATGTGGACGAGCCCTCACAGCTCCCAGTGCAGGGACTAGGACTGGGCACACCGGGGAGCAGCCTCTCACTTTTATTTCCTCCCTCTAGCCCTCTAGATGTGTCTATAGAAAGCCAGGCTGTTCGGGGCTGATGGATCGCCTACACAGCGGATGGCCAGGCGGATGGGGCCGTGTTCTTACTGTCGGAGCAGTGTATTTTAGCGGCGTCGATCCAAGTGGACCACGGTTTGCCCAGAAAAGCCTCCGGACTGGGCACTTTGCGATCCAGTGTCGCCATTGCTCTTCCTTCTTGTTGCTTTTCCTTTCCTTCGGAAGCGGAGCGACACGGGATTCGAGGCTCTGTGACGTCATCTTCGGAACGTTCCGACATTGAGCTGAGTGAAGGGGAGGGGGAAGCCGAGCGACTGTGTCTCTGATCCTCCATGCTCGTGGTTGGCAAGCCCGCTCTGCTTGCTGTGGCGCCGGTGGGCCGGAGAGGGGCGCCCGAGAGAGCGGCTTGCCTTCAGGAGAGCGGAGGACGCCGCTCTGGTCGGGCTGGTGACATGCCGGCTGACACTCGGGGTCCTGGAATCAGCGGAACATTTTACAGTTGTCATGTGGGGACTGGCAAGGGTACTTGTCTGTTAATTCACCGGATTTATTTATATATATATATATATATATATATATATATATATATATATATATATATATTTTTAAATAAAACATAAAAAAATATATATATATATATTAAAATAAATCTGTAAATAAAAGTACCCTGGCAAGACTTATGCAGGCCATAAATGAGTCGAATTCCAACCGATTTTTTTCTCTGAAAATCTAAAACATTCGCTCAGTAATGTGATGGTGCCTTCAATGATTTCAAAATCAAGTAATAAAGTTCACCCCATATAACAGGCGAAACATCTGTCCCTTCCAGGTCACGGCTCATGCGCATATTCTTTTCGGAAAAACGATCGTACGATTTGACCATCGTTGAGTCGAAAATCAGTCTTTTTACACACATTTGCCAACATGCCCAATCACCGAAAAGGGGAGGAATCACGAAAATCAGCTGGTGACATTGACCCACTAACAGAGTGAAAATTGGCCGATTTTTCTTAGGTCTGATTTTTCGGCTGAAAAATCGTTCGAATTTCGACCCATGTATGGCCAGCATTAGGCTCCATGCACACTGGGCATTTTAATAACGCTGGGAACGTTAGCCGTGTAAGCCCCCGGTCACATCTGGTGCAACCTGGCATGCGGCTTGCAAATCGCACGCCAGGTCACACCCTATTGTCCGCTATTAGAGCGGTTATATCAGTGTGGTTTCTGACTTGGTCGGAGTCGCACCAATATTTAAAGTAATACTTTACTATTTGCATAGACTTCTGTGTCAAATATCTTGCAAATCGCAATGAAATCGGCAGGTCACCCGATTTTGAAATCGTGCGACTTCACTGTAACTCGGACGATTTCAAAATCAGCTTTGATGTGACCGGAGGGTAAAGTCATGTTAAACGTTTTTCAGTGGGTTTTTTTAGTGTTTTTGCATTAGCATTTTGCCACGTTTTTTAGTGGGTTTTTTTTTCTCAAAAAAAAAGTCCAAAAAGCCGGTTTGCCACGTTTTTTAACATTAGTCCTCATGCACACTGGACGTTCTGATAACGCTGGTAACATTAGCTGTGTAAAGTCACGTTAACGTGAGATTTTCAGCTTTTTTTTAGCATTTTTGCATTAGCATTTAGTGTTTTGCTGCGATTAGCGGCGTTTTTTGTGTTTGCGTTTTTTAGCTTTTTTTAACCAAAAAAAACCCGTCCAAAATGCCGGTTTGCGTCTTTTTACCGCATTTTTCAGCGTTAGAGCGTTTTTACAGCTAAAAACTTTAGAAACACACTAGTTCTGGGTTTTTTTTCCAAGACAAAAAACGTTGATTACAGTCTATGTGTGCATGGACACATAGGATAACATGCTGGGGGGTTTACTGGCTGTAGAAAAAAAATGTCAAAAACGTCAAGTGTGCAGGAAGACTAAGTCCTCATGCACACGGGATGTTTTGATACCGCTGGTAATGTTAGCTGTGTAAAACGTGAGTTTTTACCATTTTGGATTACCGTTTTGCCGAGTTTTTCTAAGTTTTTGGTTTTTAGTATTTTACCAAAGAAAAGGGGGGGTGTCAAAAAAAGTTAAAAAGACGCCGGTTTGCGGCGGTTTACTTCGTTTTGCCGCGTTTTTCAGTGTTAGAGCGTTTTTACAGCTAAAAAACTCCTCTAGAAACCCACTAGTCCTGGGTTTTTTTCCAGCCAAAAATCGTTCATTACAGTCTATGTGTGCATGGACACATAGGATAACATACTGGGGGGTATACTGGCTGTAGAGAAAAACACCAAAAGCCAAAAACAGCCACTGTAAAAACGTCAAGTGTGCATGAGGACTTAAAGAGGAGTGCTAGCTGGAAAAAAAAAAAAAAGCAGCTACAAAAACTGTAACTGCTGACTTTTACAATAGAGCCACTTACCTGTCCCTCAGTCCAGCGGTGTCCTCACCATAGCTGGTTTCATCGGCCATTTTCTCTCCCTGGCACCTGCATCTTTAGTGTGGGCATCCAGCTGTGACAGCTTGTGGCTTCACAGCCGGGTGCTCACTGCACATGTGCAAGAAGCACATGTCCTGTCACATGTCCAAGAAGACTATGGGGAGGGAAGGGGGGAGGACAACGTCCGCTTCCGATTGCCTAGGCGATCGCAGTGGGAGCGGGTACCTGTCAAATTCGGGTACCTGCTCCCCAAAGGTGCCAATCCTTAATAAGAGCAGGGGACAAAGTCTTAAAGCGGAGCTTCCCCTTTTGGGTGGAGCTCCGCTTTAAGCTAGCCATACACGTATAGATTTTCATTCTGGAATTTTCCTTTCAAGAATATTTGATTTTCTAATCATTAGTGGGGTCAAATCAATGTTCATTTTCAACAGTAGTGATGGGAAAATTCTAAAACTCTCCATACACGTGTAGATTTTCATTCAGGAATTTTCCTTTCAAGAATATTTGATTTTCTAATCATTATTTGGGTCAAATCGATGTTCATTTTCAACAGCAGTGATAGGAAAATTCTAAAGTTGGCCATACACGTATAGATTTTCATTCGAGAATTTTCGTTTCAAGAATATTTGTTTGATTTTCTATTCGTTAGTGGGGTCAAATCGATGTTTGTATTCGACAGCAGTGAAAGGAAAATCTGAAGTGGCAGGAAGGAAAACTTTTCTCGATCAAACAAATTTTTGGCCAGTGTATGTGGTTATTGTTCAGAAATAACATTCCTTTTAAAATCAAATGTTAAAAGCATAAGAAAATTTTTGAACAACATTCATTGAATGTGCAAAGAATTTTTTTCGAAAATTCTAAAGCTGGCCATAAACGTGTAGATTTTCGGACGAGAATATTCATAAGAAAGCTTGACCGAAAATTCTTTGGACATTCGATGAATGAACGAATTTCATTTGAAATTTGTCAGTTGCTATTAACATTTTACTTTGAAATGAATGTAATTTCTGAATGATAACCACATACACTGGCCGAAAATTAGTTTGATCGAGAGAGGTTTTCCTTCCTGCCCCTTAAGCTGGCCATACATGTATAGATTTTTGTTCAAGAATTTTAGTTTCAAGAATATTTGTTTAATTTTCTAATCGTTAATGGGGTAAATCATATGTTTTTGACAGCCGTGATGGGAAAATTTGAAGGTGCAGGAAAGAAAACGTTTCTTGATCAAACAAATTTTCGGCCAGTATACAGTTGTGTTCAAAATAATAGCAGTGTGTTTAAAAAAGTGAATAAAGCTCAAAATCCTTCTAATAGCTTTTATTTCCATACACACAAATGCATTGGGAACACTACACATTCTATTCCAAATCAAAACATGAAGAAAAATATATCAAATTTGTGTTGTTCCTCTAAAAAAATTGAAGAAAAGTGAATATTAGACTGTTCAAAAAAATAGCAGTGTTGTATTCTTCTTTACAAACTCAAACATTTACTATATAAACTGAAAAATGTTTGAAGATTTTGCTTTCCTTTGAATCACTTAATTAATATTTAGTTGTATAAACACTGTTTCTGAGAACTGCTGTACATCTGTGTTGCATGGAGTCAACCAACTTCTGGCACCTGTGAACAGGTATTCCACATAGTATGATTGGACTACATTCTACAGTTCTTCTCTATTTCTTGGTTTTGCCTCAGAAACTGCATTTTTGATGTCACCCCACAAGTTTTCTATTGGATTAAGATCCGGGGATTGGGCTGGCCACTCTATAACGTCAATCTTGTTGGTCTGGAACCAAGATGTTGCACGTTTACTGGTGTGTTTGGGGTCGTTGTCTTGTTGGAACACCCATTTCAAGGGCATTTCCTCTTCAGCATAAGGCAGCATGACCTCTTCAAGTATTCTGATGTATTCAAACTGATCCATGATCCCTGGTATGCGATAAATAGGCCCAACACCGTAGTATGAGAAACATCCCCATATCATGATGCTTGCACCACCATGCTTCACTGTCTTCACAGTGTACTTTGGCTTGAATTCAGTGTTTGGGGGTCGTCTGACAAACTGTCTCCGGCCACTAGACCCAAAAAGAACAATCTTACTTTCATCAGTCCACAAAATGTTGCGCCATTTCTCTTTAGGCCAGTTAATGTGCTCTTTAGCAAAGTGTAACCTCTTCAGCACACATCTTTTTTTCAACAGTGGGACTTTGCGGGGGCTTCTTGCAGATAGCTTGGCTTCACATAGGTGTCTTCTAATTGTAACAGTACTCACAGGTAACTTTAGACCTTCTTTCATCTTCCTGGAGCTGATTGTTGGCTGAGTCCTTGCCATTTTGGCTATTCTATCCATTCGAATGGTAGTTTTTTTTTTCGCTTTCTTCCACGTCTTTCAGGTTTTGGTTGCCATTTTAAAGCATTTGCGATCATTTTAGCTGAGCAGCCTATCATTTTCTGCACTTCTTTATATGTTTTCTCCTCTCCAATCAACTTTTTAATCAAGGTATGCTGTTCTTCTGAACAATGTCTGGAACGACCCATTTTCCTCAGAATTTCAGAGAGAAATGCACTGTAACCAGCATGTACAACATTTGCTGCCTTCCTTCCTTAAATAAGGGCAATAATTGCCACCTGTTTTTCAAAGAATGAATGACCTCACTAATAGAACTCCACACTGCTATTATTTTGAACATGCCCCTTTCAATTAGTGATTCAATTACACAGATTCAGCAGCATGTATGTCATGACTGTTGGGTCTG